AATTTTATTTAAATATTTTAAATAATTAAAAAAGTAAATCAGAGACATATTTATAGTAATTATGCAGGCAAATTTGTTTGCAAATCTCTACCAATTAAGGGATAACTACTATTATTTTTTTTATATGAGATTAACTATATTTATAAGTAACTAGGAATCTTCTCCGGTCTCATATTAATCATTGGAAAACTCTAATTTTTAACACTTAATTTTTATTTAAATTGTTTTTTTTTTTGTATTTTTTATGTTTTATCTAAAGAACTTTTAAAGCAAAAGTAAATAGGCACAGTAAAATGAAGCTAAAAAAAGGCTTGATAAAAGCAAAGTTAAAGTAAGAGTTCGAAAAAAGTTAAACACAGAGTAAAAAGCAAAGACAATAAAAAGAGTAAAACAATAAAAATAATATAAATAAAAAAGAAATTAAAGTGAAGCCTAAAAGTTAGTAAAGCACAATATGAATATAAATATGAAAATAATAGTATAGTAGTCCGATTAACATCTAGTGACATGCTTCTGAGGATTATTTATTTATTTTCTGTGAAAGATTATAACAGAGATTACTGATAATTATAATATATAAATTGGTAATCTCTATTATAATTTTCTCCTCTAGGAAATAAATAATAATTCTGGTTAACATTATCATTCTGGCCTAAATTATACTACCTAGAGTCTTGTGACCTTAAGCTGCATTAGCCAGCCAATCATATTATATTGGCTGGCTTATCTAGCTAAGCTGTCTTAGCCATAGCTACTCTAATCAGCTTGTAACACTAGTTGTATATATATAATTATGCTAACAAATTTATTTGTAACTCACAGGGCCATGGAAGTTATGTAATTTAGTGCAAAGATAGTAAACAGAGATGGTCAATGACCTTCAAATAACCTTCAAATAACCTTAAATGACCTCAAAACAACTTCAAATAATCTTAATTTTATTATAAATTTTGGTTGAAAATGACTTTGGTCATTTGAAAAAAAGGCAAATGATCTCAAATTTTACTATCTCTGATGGTAAATAACCAGATTATTTGCTCAAAATTTAAGTGACCAAGTTATTTGAGTAAATGACCTTAGGTCATTTGCATATAAAGTAAATTAATTGGCTAGATAGCTAATATAAAAAGTTATAAAACACTGTGATTTCACTAATCAATGATTGTAGTTACACACAAAGTCAAAATTTTACTAGGTTAATTTACATTTTCAGCAAAGTTGTTCAGAAGAACAACTTAAAATCAATTATATTATTGATAATATATATTTTATAAAATTACATTACTAGTATGTCTAATAATCAAATTTGATTGGCTAAAAGGTGTTAGATTATCAGTTAGAATCAATGACTAGTTACTAGTTATTTGGGTCACCATTCCTGATTTAGCGTAGTTAATAGTATGTTTAAAAATGTAAAATAAATTATTTTTAGTAGTATATTAAATGCGAGTAAATTAAATAACATTTTTAGTATGTTAAAATATAAAAAATGACATTAAAGCCTAAAATAAATACATTCATATTTAAGAAAAAAATTATTATTTTTTTGTATAAATCCAAAAAGAATTACATCAAGCAGTAATGCTCTTGGATTTAAAGATAAGCTTATATGCATTTTTTTTTATTTCACTATAAACTGCTGTATAAAAGACCTGAGTCTCTTACACCCCACCAATATTAAACCCTAATTTAAAACCCAGATCTAGTACATGGTGGAGAGTTTGTATATTAGAAAGAAAATTTAAAAAGCATGCATAATTTTCATTCATAGTGGGCAGCCTAGATATTTAAAAAAAACCACATTTGGTTATTGTAGATTTCAAGATTTACACCTGGGTCTAGTATATAGAAAGTCTTGTATACAACAAATTACAGTATTGATGCACTCAAAGTTTTATTTAAAGCAAGTGTATTTAACTACGATGAATAAATTAGTTTGTTTAATTGAGCGCAGTATTTAAAACAGTGTTTTTAATTGATGATAATAATCATAAACAAAACACTTGAATGAGTACAGTATTTAAAAAATGAATTTTTTTAGTTGTGCATAGTATTTAAAAAATTCTAGTTTTTAGTTGTGTGCAGTATTTAAAAAATTGTAAAGTTTTTTAGTCATGTGCAATATTTATTTAAAAATTGAGACTTTTTTTTGAGATAAAATTTTTTTTTATTCCTTAAAATGGTTTGCAGGCAAATTTGCCTGCAAATTTTTGATCAAAATTATTTTTGCATAGAGCTTTTAGGAATGGACTAAGAAAACTTGCCTTTGATAGCTAATGCCGAAGGCAGGTTTTCCTAGTCATTCCCCATATTACTTTTAACTATTTTGTCTTTAATTTGGTGAAATATCCCCTGCAAAAATCATGTCGTCAAATTATAAACATGTGCTATTGATATTTGTCAAATGAAACTAATAATTGGATTTAAACAAATTTTAAACGGATGGCTGGTCCTTCACCTGGTGTGCAACATATAAAAAATTATTTTATTATTTTACAATACTAGATCATTCCGCCAGTAATGTTATGATCATAATTCCATTTTATTATAATTTTTTTATATGTTGCACACCGGGTAAAGGATCGGTTGTGTAACATCGACGTTCTTATTAGATCATTTAAACACGTGACTTTGGCGGGTAAATATGTGCAATTATTGGATAAATTTTTTGCAGGCAAATTTGCCTGCAAAAGTTTATGGTTTAATAATCATCAGTAAATCAAATATTTTTATATATACCCCGCACGCATAATTTACAATTTCTTATCGCATAAATTCCGTGTCCCTGCTGTATATAGGGTATATAGGGTTGTAAAATTACTGAAATTTTGCGTAAATCAATTTTTCATGTAATCGTAATTTCGAACACACGACATTTATCAAATTTCGGCGATTTATGAGTTACAATTCGGATTGTACATTCAAATCAAATGATGCAATAATGTTGGCCAAACTTTTTGTAAATCCGGTACTTTATGTAAAATTACATGAAATTTGGGTTTCAGAAACTTACGTAAAATTACATGTAATATAAAATTGTAATTTATGTAACACATCCCTAGCTGTATACAAAATGTATAATATCAACTAAATCGGCCAGCATTATAACTAATGCCGGCCAACTTTGTCGGTATTTTGTTAACCGGGGTTAAATCACCACCCAAAAAAATTTCAGATTATGTGATTTAATAATCGCAGTATATCAATTATATTATTATACGATGCTTATTAATAAAATTTTTCATAAAAAAATAGTAAAAGCGAAAGTATATTTATTTTTTTGAACATGTGAATAACGTAAATCACATGATCTGAATTTCCGGTTGTTCATTTGGGAATCTGTCTATCGGGTAGAACCAAAACCCCTGTTGTAACCTCCGTACTATATATCCGGGGTACTATAATAGTACGTATAAATAGTATATAAATAAAAATTTTATTTAAGATATATTAAAAAAAAAAAAAAAACTTATTATAAATACTAATTTAAGCTTAATATATATATTGTAAATAAAGATACGTATTTATAAAAAATAATTATATCAATTATTACATTGTTAACTACAATACTAATACAACAGTATTAATTAAATAAATAAAGTTCAAATTATAAAAATTATAAAAATAATGACCCACCTTTTTTTTTAAGTAACCTGATTATTCTCCATTGTTTATAAAAAAAGTTACGTTTAAACTTTATTTGCATACAGATATGCTAATAATCATTTAGGCTACGTTCAATGTAGGCTGAAAAAGCAATCAGGCGTCTGTTTTGATAAGTTAATAAGATTATTTATTATATAGGATGAAATAAATAATTACGCAATACAAATAAAATTTCCAATAATAATTTCAGCCCTTCGATATTGTATGTACCTACTAACCAAATTAGGCTAGAATAGATGTATTTTTGTTTTTCTTTGGGGAAGATTTTGACGAAACAATGCCAGTCTATCATAATTAGGTTAAAAAACATCGGACTTGACAACTAGGATATAACACCAATCTAGTACTTCTGAGCAAATCTATTGACACTGATTTATGTATAATATTGCCAAGCTGGGTAAATAGAAACAATACGTTTATTAGTGATATATGCATAAAATTCCTTTCACACGGTGACTTCTTGTAGAAATTCATCGCCAAAAATAAAACTTTACGATAAAAATGTTTTGATCTATCATAATAATATCAAAATGGAAGAGTATACGTTTTACAATTCGCATTTGTTCACAGAACAATGATGTTAACTAGAATGAATTGAGTCTTGGTCGAATTCAAACAATACCGACTTTAAATAACATTCACCAATTATGTTTAACCTGATTTTATCGACTGTTCCTGATGAATCAAAACAATTTAAATGAATTCGTATGTTGAACTTTCTTATATATATAGTATTTGTGTGGGAGAAAATCGAAAAGCCTGTAAATAATTTTTTTTCACATCGATATTTTTTCTTGTTACTGTATTATATTTTTCATTCACTCCATCGAAATTTCAAATTTTAAGAAAATGTCACGACAGATCAGACTTAAAAACGATGTACCAGTTTTCACGCCTTTCCCCCAAACTAATATACATTTTCCGGATGAAAACCTCGTCAATAAAATTGTTGCATCAATAGATCCAGTCGTATTTTCAAAGATCAAGCAACATACGTATCTAGAGATTAAAGATTTAATCGCACCTAGACCAAAAAAGAATCGTAATAGGCAAACAATTCCACGACCACAAAATCCTTTTGTAATATTTCGTAGGGATGCACAAGCAAAAATGGAAGCCGGTATAGAATCTGAAATGAAGGAATCGATGCTTGCGCTCGTATCAAAGACAGCGGGAAAAGATTGGAAGACAGCTGATGCAGAAGTAAAAAATGTATTTAACTATTTAGCTACATTAGCAAAAAAAGTTCATGAGAAGACATATCCAGATTATGTTTATAAGCCAAGGAAGAGGGCTAGTTCACCTGTTCCTGAATTACAATTTTCTCTGGAAGATTCTGATATTTTGGATGAAAGTCAACATTATTCTTCTCTTTCAAGTTATACAAATAATTATTCGTCTATTCCCAACTCCCCTGATGAAAATCGCAGATTCCGATCAGATTCGCAAAACTTTTCATATTCTCTTTTACCATCCAAACATTTGCCTTCTATTTGGTCATTAATCGATTCGATCGCTGCAAACACTCTGACATCCACAAATTTATCGTGCTCGCCAACTTTTACCCATCGCAATTCATCCGAGAAACAGGCTAATTATAAATCCGAAATAAGATCATCGTTTTTCAAATCTTCGTTATCAAACACATTACCGTCTCCCGATGTGTCTAATTCGTATAATGTTTTACCACCGCTCGAAATTGATATATCTAATTATGCAACACATAATTACGATAGAAATATACTTACCGCTTTATCATTTTAATTCGCAATTTTTTTTTTCTCGCCACGAGTATTATCTTCTTTGAATAGCGAGTCATTAATCACATGATATATATGTATTTTTAAAATTTTTTATGTAGTTTTGAGATTTTGAAAGGGATAACCATGCATAAAGATTATTCATATATGCTTTTTAAAAATTTTTTTTTATTTGATAAATTTTATCGATGTTATCATGATAACTTGTATAATATAATTTCGTTTTTTTTTTGTTGGGATAAGAAATTATTTACGTGATTATGAAAAAAAATTGTTTACACAGAAGGATCTATTACCGGTATTTTACAGGATAATTAATATCTAATAGGCTAATTGCCTTTTCACGTAAGGTTATGCATCAAAATGTTATGGATAATTAAATTATATAGTTCTGTATTTTAATCCCTTTAAAATAGGTTTAGTAAATTCTCAGATCGTTATAATCACTTTTTTTTTTATAAGCCATATATAGTTTTAATTTTAGGATTTAGTGCGAGCGCCAACGTTTTTGTATTAAAGAATGAAATAAATGTGTAAATAAAATTTTGATCGCTGGAATCTTTATGCTTGAAGTATAATTGCTCCGCTGGTGCTAGAGCCATGGTGTGCCAATGATTTTTACTAACGAGATGTACGTACGTACGTTTGTTTGGTAACGTATATATGTATATAATAGTAATAATAAAATTAGCAACAATATAAAGCAATTTAATTATTTATTCATTACATAATTTACTAAATTTAGCAAATTTACGCCGTTCATTGTCTTCATACCGATACGATACTATCTTCATTATTAGATAATGACACTTTCATAGGAGGACATTCGTATGATTGGCTGTTGTAAATCAATTGCCCGGGTAACTTATTTATACGGTTTAAAGTACTTTTTGGGACCCATATTATCGGAATTAATAACTTGATTATCTGGCTTTTAATATAACATAATATATATATATATATATAGTTCGATAGTTGTTTTATAATAGTATAAGAATTAATATCTTGAAATATAATCAAATAACCCGTGGTGACTATTACTACCCCTAGATATATTTAGGGTGTATTAAGGATTTTTTTTTTTTATATACAGTATATCAAAAAAAGATTTTAGAGCTAGGCTAAGATTGAATCTTTTAGGTTATTAGTTAAAAATAAAAAAAAATTACTGTATAGCACTAATTAAAGTTTTTCCCCTATATATAATACCCCTTTCTAGCTATTGAAAGGGTTTCTCTAAAGTAACTGGATATAGCTATTAATACTATATATCTAGTATATACATATTTTATTAGACCAAGGTACTCCAAAGACTCTTTGAGTAAAATATCTATGCAAAATGGTCTATTTGTAAAATACTCCAGGTTAGTGATAGAAATTTTACCAAATTTTTATGATTTTACTAGTAGCTACAGTAGATGGTAGCTACTAGTAGCTATTACTACCGGTAGAACTACTAATAATAAATTTTAATTGATCAGCCTGACAAGAAACTTTATATTAATATTGGCTGGATTTAAATGGTTAAACAGTTAATATGGATAAACAGTCAAACTGTTGGAAGATTTTAGGCAGTTCAATCTCTACTATTAGTAGTCATATCTGGTTAACATTTAATTTAATTGATGATCCTTCAGTCAACTAAAGAATGATTATAGTAAAATGTGACTCAGATTACTATATAAATTTACTATAGTGCGAATATGGCGATCGCCCAAGGT